TTTAGTGTCTTATTATTAAGGGGTGTGGCACCAATAAATCCTGTTAGCAAGGGTGGGGAGATCTGACTTTGGATCTCCATCCCCTGCCTTGATCTCCATCTCTCGCCTTCTTGTCCCTATCAATGCAGGGAGTTGAGGGGGGGGGGCAATTTAGTTGACAGCAAAGGCAGGTGACACAGCACAGTGGGCTGAGGGGTCACATTTCAGGTAAATAGCTCTGATCAGTGGTTATCAGCCACTGATCAGAGCTATCAGTTTGTGCAGCAGCGTCTGATAAAAAATTCTGATATAAGCTTATAGCAGAGGAGGAATGCAGGTCCGTATGGCATACGGACCTGGCCATCTAGAAGCAGTGCTGTAGGTCCATAAGCCATATGGACCAGGCAGCAAAAGGGTCAATAGAGACGAGTACACACTATAGAGGGATAGGCTTTGCTCATATTTCATGCTTGAGGTTTACAATCACTTTAAAACATTTGGGGCAGATACACAGAACATACAGTGGAAATAAAAAGTCTACACACCCCTGTTAAAATGTCAGGTTTCTGTGATGTAAAAAAATAAGACAAAGATAAATAATTTCAGAACTTTTTCCACCTTTAATGTAACCTATAAACTGTACAACTTAGTTGAACAACAAACTGAAATCTTTTTGGTGGAGGGAAGTAAAAATAAAAAACTAAAATAATATGGTTGTGCAAGTGTGCACACCCCTAAACTAATACTTTGTTGAAGCACCTTTTGATGTGATTCCAGCACTCAGTCTTTTTGGGTATGAGTCTAGCAGCATGGCACATCTTGACTTGGCAATATTTGCCCACTCTTCCTTGCAAAAACACCCCAAATCTGTCAGATTGCGAAGGAATCTCCTGTGCACAGCCCTCTTCAGAGCACCCCACAGATTTTTGATTGGATTCAGGTCTGGGCTCTGGCTGGGCCATTCCAATACTTTAATCTTCTTCTGGTGAAGCCATTCCTTTGTTGATTTGGATGTATGCTTTGGGTCGTTATCATGCTGAAAGATGACGTTCTTCTTCATGTTCAGCTTTCTAGTAAAAGCCTGAAGGTTTTGTGCCAATATTGACTGGTATTTGGAACTGTTCATAATTCCCTCTACCTTGACTAAGGCCCCAGTTCCAGCTGAAGAAAAACAGCCCCAAAGCATGATTCTGCCACCACCATGCTTCACTGTGGGTATGGTAATCTTTTGGTGATGTGCAGTGTTGTTTTTGTGCGCCAAACATATCTTTTGGAATTATGGCCAAAACGTTCAACCTTGGTTTCATTAGACCATAACACATTTTCCCACATGCTTTTGGGAGACTTCAGATGTGTTTTTGCAAAATTTAGCCAGGCTTAGATGTTTTTCTTCATAAGAAAAGTGTTCCGTCTTGCCACTCTACCCCATAGCCCAGACATATGAAGAATACAAGATTGTTGTCACGTACCACACAGACAGTACTTGCCAGATATTCCTGCAGCTCCTTTAATTTTGCTGTAGGCCTCTTGGTAGCCTGCCAGACCAGTTTTCTTCTCATCTTTTCATCAATTTTGGAGGGACATCCAGTTCTTGGTAATGTTACTGTTGAGCCATATTTTGTTCACTTGATGATGACTGTCTTCACTGTGTTCCATAGCAGATCTAATGCCTTGGAAATTCTTTTGTACCCTTCTCCTGACTGATACCTTTTAACAATGAGATCCCTCTGATGCTTTGGAAGCTCTCTGAGGACCATGGCTTTTGCTGTAGGATGTGCAACTAGGAAAATGTCAGGAAAGACCTACTGGAACAGCTGAAATTTATTTGGGGTTAATCAGAGGAACTATAAATGATGGCAGGTGTGTACTGACTGTAGCTGCTCTATTCCGCACCCTGATTCTTATTTTATTGTTTTGTGAACATTGCCCCTTTGTGGCCAATGGCTAGTTTTTATACCAAGAAGCAAAACTGCGTTCCAAGCAGGATTCTATGAACACTGTGGAGCAGAGGTATTCATTCAAACCAGGAATCAGAGACACAGCTATATAGCTATTCATAGCCAAACATCCACAAGGCAGATATAACAGATACAAATACAAATGCAGCTCTGTATTCACTAATACATCAATAATGGACAATCTTCATCTTGGGAGGATGGTGATGTAAAAAAAAACAAAAACAAAAACTTTACAGGTAGATTCTGGACCCACTATCAGCAGGCAATATATGCGGGGAAGGTGGTTTAGGACAGCTAATGGGGACCTTGCATTGCACTGCGAAGTCCGCTTTAAATATGTTTGGTTTTTTTAATGCAAGCAGAGCAAGTTCCCAAATTTGTCTTCATATTATACTGGTGTAGTTTCAGTACTGCAAACAGTTTTCACCTAAATAGAAACTTACCCCCCACCTACCTCTTAACTTCCTTTCCCCATACCTCTTGATGGGTAGTCCACAAAACATACAGTATGCTTGCATGCCCAGTGGTTAAGCAGTGTTCTAATGATTCTGTCCTCCTTCTGGGTTCATGAAACTGTACCCTTGATGATGCACCATGTCATCAGGGTGCTGGCTACAAGCATTAGGAAAAGGCAGCTCCCCCTAATGATGTGCCACATCTTTGCATAATAGGATACCTTGGAGACTCCTGGGATGCGTAGTATGGATATCCCAGGAAGCTGCAGAAAGTGTGGTGTCATTTTTGTCTAGGTGACAACCAATGAATTAGGGGGAGAAAAAAAATGATAAAATAACCTTTTGTGATTTTGAAAGATTTGGGTAAGGATGAGGTGCTGGAAAGTGGTTGGGGAGGGTGAAGGTCTGTTTTAAAAGAAGCCAAATCCAGAGAACAAAAACACTATAGCCTTCTGAACACACATTGCCTCATAAAATAAGGTACATTACTACATATTTTGCCTGGAATAAGGGTTAATAAAGTTAAACTTTTATTCTCTGACTTTTTTCTCTTTAAGAACCACAGGTGGCAACAGTACATGTGGCCCACGCTAGACCTCTACATGACATCAGATAAGAAAGGTCCACCTAGACAAAAGACTTCTTATATTTTCAGCAGGAGATTTAAATCAGGCCATGTCCTTTGCACTAAGATGAGACACAATGATTCTTAAACTATTCTTTCAGGCCAGAAATGACAGTGAATGAACTGTGTGTGCTTTGTTTCTGTAGTGTCCTGTCTTTTTCAATTATATGAAATTATTGGACATGCACAGTGGAAAAGCAATCCATAACACAGTGTGCAGACTCTGCAGGTACCTGGAATCACTTACTGCCAGAACACAAGGCCTGTTAATTATTTATCCCTGCTATTTGATTACAGTCTTCTCAGAAATTGTTTTAAATGCCCTGCTCTTCCTCAAATACAGTAAAGCACAATATTAATTATATAGTAATGCATTTATCGGAGTGATACATCAAATACATTCTACACTGCTTTCTTGCCTGACCACTAGCTCAAAGCCCAAATAGCCACCTTGTTCAACACCCATAGTCATACTGGCTTATTTAAAATATATCTAAAGCCAATTTTTTTTTTTCAGCTGTGGATAGAATGTGGAATATTTAAAATCCTTTATTATGCTGTATGTGTTCCATTGTGAAGATTTCTTTCACTCCTGTCTCAATGGGAAGTAAGAGGAAATCTCTGTAAAGTAAAAGAAATCCCCTCCTAGACAGCTATCACTGAAATATGTGTCCTCACTGGAAGATTTCCCTTCTGATTCTGCTTTGGTGACAACTCAAAATATTAGATTTCCCATCACTTTTATCTTCAGAGGCAATGGTCAACAGGAGATATAGGGTGAGCCTTCTCAGCAGGGACAGAGGCAGCAAATAAAATCAGAGAGAGGTCTTAATGTTTCCCTGCTTTATCCAAATAGGAGGGGGTAGATACATTTTAAGCCAAAGACTTTAGCTGGCCCTACTTTTTTTTTTTTATTGGTTCAGCCAATGGGCACACAAACTAGGTAGATGGAATGCCCTGCAGCTGTCAAAATACACTTAACAGTGGCTGTAGCTGCCAACAGAAAGGTCTGTCCCCATGACAGAAGCGATAAACTGCTGGGGGGGGAGCGGCCACACACTGTTCAAAATTTGGCTGGTCCCTACTGTTTTGTTGCAGAACCCTACTGTGTCAAAACAGAGGTCACCTTTACCAATCTGTAAACCGTAAACTTAATCTGACTAGCTGTATGGGTTACTGTGCTTTCTACAACAGGCTGCTTTTTGCATGAATTTGTCCAGCTAAACTAAATCTAGCCAGACACACACATATTTAATAGATTCTTCTATACATGCTAACCAGCATGGATTAAAGAATCTGCACTGCCTGCTATCATATTCGGACAGCTGGCATCTACGATGGTCAGAATGCCTGAACAGTGACTGTAGCTGAGTGAATGTAGTCACTGATCCGATGCTGCGTCTTTACCCTGCCAACTCTCTACTGAGAACTAAGCGATCAAACACCACTGATTGTTCAGTTCTCAGCATTCTGTGAGCAGAGAGTCAATGACTGTCAGTCTATGGCTCTCTGTTCTGCCTCTCCAATGCGCATTGGAGAACTTGACTGTGGTGGGGGCGTGCGCATCTGGGTCAAGCTCTCAATGGATCGCTGAGAGGCTGAGCCAAGTGCTGGTCCAGGCTTCTGGGAGGATCCCAACCATATGGTCGGAATCTTTTCAGTGCCTGGAACGGCTCTCTGCCGGGCTTCAGCCTGCTGTCAGCTAAAAATGGATCACAGGAGTGCAGAACTAACTACATTCCTGTAATATATAGGAGAAGTATAGCCAAGATAGCTTTGGCAATACTTGTCCTTTAATAAACTTTTCACTGCTTTAAATAAAAGCAAAATATGAAAAATGATATACTGCAACATTTATTATATACTGAAAATGTATAACTTGCACAATTATTTACATAAAAACTCATATTTATCTATTTCATTAACAATCATTATCCAGAACTACATCACAACTTTACTGGAATCATTAAGAACAGTACTCACTGCCTGGTCTGGTCCATCTCCCCCGAGAACCCGAAATCCAAAGCCAGATTCTTGTTTTCGTAAGAAAACATCCAAGTCCTTTGTATTGGGAGCTACAAATGAAAAACAAGAAGCCAATGAAAATGATAAATCAGATTACTAAAATGCTCTCACTGCAAACCATCAGCAATTACGTGAATCTACCATTATGTTTAGCCAATTAACACTGCCACAACTGATAAACAGCAGGCATCAGAAATTCCTATAAATGATGCTGGAGGGTGAAATGTCAATTCTCTGACATGCAGCCCATTCACCCTTTGCATATAATGTGTGACTGTCCTTCAGGTGTCCTGGGTTTAAAAGATCACATATTTCAGGGATCAGAGACATGTAAATCCTACTAATAGGGATGCAGACCTTGCAACTTTTCTCATTAGGACACTGAGAGAGCACCAGCTAATTATAATGAACCTGTTCCTCCCATCAGTCTGAAAAAGGACAGGGTGAATCAAACAGCTGTTACAAAGTTTGTTAAAATCCATTCATTAATTAGCAAGAACAAAAGTGGAGTTACTCTTTAATTCGTAAGTTCGACAGGCACTGCTATCTGTCAAACTTGATAAACCAAGTTAAATTTACATGTAGTCAGTCTCCTCCAGCTTTCTGTGAGTGGTCTGTGGGGGGGATAAAAACGCAGCTGGACCACCAGTTTTTATCACCTGTGTAAATGAGGCCCTTAAGAAGCCAACATAGAGATCCAAGTAGAAGGATAATGATATAGCTGACCACACACTCATAGCTTTCGTTTATTTAGCCAGCAGGCAGAACAAAAGAAATCTAAAATATTCCTGCATCCATGTTAAACATCCCAGATAGTCGTATCTACCCTGCTGGCTATTGTATTCATATACCTGGAACCTGCAACTGTCAGAACCTGAACAGTACCTGCATCTGATTGGATGCAGGCACTGATCAGCTGACAATGTTCCACTCAGCTCTTCTGACCGAACAGTTGACAGGGATACCACCAGCATCAACAGGAATCAGACATAATTTGAGCATTGTAAGCTTTAGTGTGTCTATAATTTCACAGCAGGCCTCAGCTACACATGAGTTTCATGCCCCTGGCAATAATCACATGAAAAAAAAAAACAACAGGGTGGTTATAACGAAGTCCAAGTACAAGAATCGTTTTGGGTACAGTTAGACTACCCATACTGCAGATGGTTCAAAAAGATTCAAATCATCTATGGCTGGCTTTAGTCTTCTGGTGAAGCTGTGCATAGTAACCATCCAGCTTCCAGGTTTTATTGTCAAACCCTAATTCAGTGTTTCTCAACTCCAGTCCTCATGGACCCCCAACAGGTCATGTTTTCAGGATTTCCATTATTTTGCACAGGTGATTTGATCAGTTTCACTGCCTTAGTAATTACCACAGCTGTTTCATCTGAGGGAAATCCTGAAAACATGACCTGTTGGGGGTCCATGAGGACTGGAGTTGAGAAACACTGCCCTAATTGAACAAGCTGCAGTTAGAAGCTGGTTGGTTACTATGCACAGATGCACCAGATTCTGAGTGCTCCAGTTTTAGTAATTCTCCCCCGAAGAGTTATTGTCAAGTCGACCCACTTATACTGATGTAACTAAATTTGGTCTGAAGATTTAGGCATCAATGACCAATGGACACTGAAGAGGTTAAACAATTATATTAGTTTTGTGAGACTGAAGTGAACCCAGTCACATAATTATTTTAATAACACAAATACCAGAGCTTAAAAGCAGGAAGCAAAAAAACTGTCTACTTTATATGACGGTCTTACAGTTAAAATGATGACGGTAAGCAATTTGTTTTATAGCAGCAAATTGCTGTACCAGCTAAATAGCTGGAATAAAGTAATATTTGAATGCATTTTCTTCTCTAGCTGTAGTTGTTTCTATAATTGTAGTGCAAGTCTTGAGAACATAATTTTTTACCATTTTTCATGGATCGGTCCTTGACGATAACTTGGGCATGTGAAAGTTTTGTCTCAGGGAGTTCCCGTATCATATTCTTTCACTGAAAGGTATACAGGGTTGATTTACTAAAATTGGAGAATGCAAACTTTGGTGCAGCTCTGCATAGAAACCAATCAGCGTCCAGTTTTTATTGTCAAAGCTTAATTGAACAAGCTGAAGTTGGAAGCTGATTGGCTACAATGCACAACTGCACCAAATTTTGCACTCTCCAGTTTCAGTAAATCAACCCCTTTGACTGCTATGTTTATAGTGAAACATCAAGAAAGCCTAATTTGATTTACATGTCTAAATACCACCACATTTACACGTAGGAAAAGTTGCAACAGGGACCACCTATAGAGCAGTTTTGTAGCTGGAGCAATTTCAAGAGCAGCTTTGGTGTCATAAATCAAGTGATAATTTAGTGCTGCCAGAATGTTATGAAGAAAGCCTGCAACTTAAACTCAATGTATAGCCAAAAACTTATTTTATTCAGTTTTGGATACAGAAGGAAAGAATCAAAAAGATTGTCTGGTTTTATTGCTGTTTGTGTCCCACTAGGTTGATTCACATTCTCTGTTTGTCCTGGTGACCATTGTTACCAGGACAGAAAGTGATAAGGAATCCAAATTTTAGAGTTATCACCAAAACAGGAGGTGGGGTAAATCTTCCAGAGATGGCATACTGAGCAGGGCTTGAAAACGCAGCTCGCCTAATGCGGTGAGCACGGATGATGGATGGAGCGGCTGCACCTGTGCTCCAAGCCTCATTGTGAAGCCGAGTTCCGATTTCCAACTTCCGGTTTCCGGCATCTTCGGCACCGCCATTACACTGGCAGCGCCGATGAGGGCACAGGTGCAGGAGAGGTCCTGTCAGGGACCATCGCGACGCATGGGTCTACACAGGCATAGGTGTCTGCCAAGACGTGTAGGTGGCAGGGCACTAGGACCCAGGCGCACCCGTCGTCTTGACAGTACTAGGCAGGCACTGGGACCTAGGCTGCACCTGTCAGGTGCAGGGCGGGCTATTTAAGCCAGCTCTGTACAAACACTTGTTGCCGAATGGTCTTTGTATGCTGTTACTTGTGTTGTGAGTATCTTGATCTGGATTGTTTGACCTTGCTGCCTTCTCCTGTCCTGACCCTTGGCCTACCTGACTCTGCTCCTGGATGTTCCCCTTTAAATCTGATCTTTTGGTGTTGACCCTGCGTGTGACCCGACTGTCCTTTGCCTACCGTTTTGTACCTCACCGACCCGCTAGTTGCCCACCCGGCCTGTATGACTCTGATTTAGCTCATCCATCCCGCAGGGATCACTAGGCTCCCTCACATCAGACTCTTAGCCCCCTGGAGCTCCTGTCAGACTCCTCTACCCCTGTTGGAGATACCTAGCAGCTGCGACCTGGTACCGGAGCGCTCCAAGTCCATCCCCACCATCAGGGGCCCTGGTGAACAAGTGCTCCGGTGCTTAGACTCCGCACTCTGGGGAGGCTCTGCCAGGGGATTGATAGAGGTGCTGTCAGGCGGTCCATTACAGGTCCACTCTCCTCCGCTGAGAGAAGACACCCTCCCCACCGACGTGGGAGACTCTTGGAGAGGTCCGCTCTCCCCCGCCGTGGGGAAAACGAGGAGAGGCCCGCTCTCCACCGCCTTGGGGGACACGACGCCTGCTCTCCACTGCCTTGGGGGACACGACGCCTGCTCTCCACTGCCTTGGGGGACATGTGGTATTTTGCATTAGAAAAAGGGTATTACACAAGTCTTGTTCCTGCTGTACAACGAAAACCATTACAAATCTTGATGTGAAACTGGCTTCCTACTGCTTTTTGTCATCCAAAAAATTATTTTTTGGTGTTTTTTTTCTTAATTGAATAGAATGCAATCCACACACAGCCATTGAAGTGGTATTTTGCATCAGAAAAAAGGGTATTACACAAGTCTTGGTCCTGCTGTACAACACAAACCATGGCTGCTCTATTAGCACGTTTTTGTTAAAAAATGTTTACTATTGTTATGCCATGTTTTATATTTTGGACTCTTTATTCTAAAGAAAAATGTAATTTCATAAGCTTTAAGGGGGCGTGGTTGGGGGGCAGGGCTGGGGGGGGGGGGGGGGTTGGGGACGCTCCGGGAATGGTGTTGGAGGTGGACCTGGGCAAGGTTGGGTGGGGCAACTGGTGGAGAGTAAGGTTTGTGCCTTGCTAGTAGGTCTAGACTTGCAATTTTAAGCCCTGGCATACTGTATAGTCTGGTGACAATAAAGAGGGGTATTCCCCTCATTGTGTAGAGATTTCTTCTCACTTCCTGTTGTATTCCTGAAACAGAAAGTGAAGGGAAATTTCCCCAACAGAACACAGCGAGCACAAATTAAACCTTCAGGGGTTTCAACTTCTCCCTCTACAGAAAATGAAAGAAACAAGTTTTGACTATACATAAACTCACAGTTTCCACTTTATGGATATAGAATGCAGTTGTTAAAAGCCCTGACAACTTTTTTTTTCTTTTTTGCAGTCCCATTTGGGACATTTCCCTTCATTTGTGGAGCCATGGCGTTCACTGTTGTGGAATTAACAGTAAATCTTTTTATCATTAGGAAACATCTCCACTTACACCGTGTTCCAAAATATTATGCAAATTCTATTTAAGTGTCACAAAGATGAAATATTTTGTTTTTCAGTGTAACTTATGGATGGCATTGTGTGTCAGGGCTCTTTTGATCACTGAAAACAATCTCGGACACCTGTGATAATTAGATTGGCAGGTGAGCCCAATTTAAGGAAAAACTACTAAAGGAGGGTGTTCCACATTATTAAGCAGAGCACCATTTTCAAGCAATATGGGGAAGGAAAAGGATCTCTCTGCTGCTGAAAAGAGTGAAATAGATCAATGCCTTGGATGAGGTATGAAAACATATTTCACGAAATCGTAAGCGTGATCATCGCACTATTAAGAGATTTGTGGCTGATTCAGCGCACAGATGGGTTCGTGCAGATAAAGGCACATTGAGGAAGATTTCTGCCAGATCCATGCATCGAATCAAGAGAGCAGCTGCTAAAATACCATTACATAGCAGCAAACAGATATTTGAAGCTGCTGGTGCCTCTGGAGTCCCACGGA